TCTCTCTCTCTCTCTCTCTCTCTCTCTCTCTCTCTCTCTCTCACACACACACACACTAAGCTACTTGTTCTTCCTAAAAGAACTAGGAAGAAGGGGAAAGGGCTTTGTTAAGACACATTGCTAAAATATTCAAAATCCTAAGAAAGCACAGGAAATCAAATTATTCTAAGATTCGTTTTAGGTTTGATATTTTGAAGTATTTGGCAGAAGCCAAGGATATAGGAAAGTTTAAGAAATGGTAAGTATAAGAATTTATTTTAAGCTTAAGATAGACTTAAATCTGTCTGAAAGCAGAGGGTAAAATTTTTGAACATAGTAATTCCTTCAATTACAGAAGACTTTTGGTGGAGTAACTTATAATTTCATTACTATTTTGCTTCTTGCATGAAGTATACACTTGATGACAGTTCAAATGTTACCCATAAAGATCTGAAATGTACTTAACAAGACTACTCCATGTTTCTTTAGAATCCTACAGCTTAAAGCAGGTCAGTGCTTAAGACCATTAAGTACAGTTTGAATGTTTTCACACAAGGCACTAAGAGTTTAAGTGACTTCCCCAAATTTAGCAGCCTGTTAATGTTAATGTCATGACTAGAAGCCAGTGTCCCTACTCCTGGTCCAAAGCTTTCTCTGTTTTGTTGTGTTGCGCTGAGTTTCAACATTTTATATGCTTTTAGCGTATGATGGTAGCACATGCATTTATAGAGCATTTTAGTTTTCAAAGCAGTTTATCTGCATTATCTCATACTTGCATACCAAAATGCCCTTTGAAAATGTATTATTTATTGATTTGCTCAAAGAAGACTTGCCCATTTTTATGATGGGCTTAGAGAGAAGTTAAATGTCTTTTAGTAGTTCTGTTTACAGGTCTGTATCCATTTACACCCAGTCAATCAAGTTCACTTCTTTTTAGCCCAGTTTTTCCTGCCTGTAAATTTTCTTCATTGGTGACTGATTTCACTATTTTGTGTGAACAGTGGAGTAAAGTTCAACTGACTCAGACTCAGGGACCTGGGCCAGATTAGTGGCTTTGTGTAGCACCTTCCTCATCTGAGCTCTGAAAAGAGTGATGGCGGGTGACCAAAGGGCTGGCCAGCTCCTTGGATGCTCCACAGAAAGCTGAAAAGTTCAGCAGCCTAGAGAAGTCCTAGCCAGAGCACCCTGCATTACCTGAATGAGTGTGGTATGGTGCCTATTTTCCAGATGTAGTCTTTCCACCCCTCTTAGCATACATTCTGTAATGCCGGTAAATGGAAATACAATGTATGGGGATCTATTTGCAGACTTTGATGAAAACTGGGCCAGTCACAGCAAAGGTTATGTTATGCAAATACTCTGGGAAATCCCTAGCCACTTTCCTAGGTGAGTAAAGGTAAGATAATGTTCATCGTACGTCTGCACAATCGGACTAAACATGCAGGCCATTCTTAGGATACGAGAAGTATCTGGAGAAGGAAGCCTCAGCAGGTCCCTGGAAACTGCTCCTCTGAGAAGCAGACATCGAGAGAACCTTCAAGAATCAGGCAGGAAAGTGTGTTCCGTGTGCAAGAAGTATTATAAACATGGAATGCTCCAGAATGGGAAACTAACAGGGAGAGAGAACCTATCAAATATTGAGAAAGTTGGTAAAGGCTGTGATTTTGTACCCTCTTTTATCACTTCAGATAATATCCATGTAGGTGGTTTTATGTTATTATTATTTTCAATTTTTAATAAAGTGAGTTGCACTTTAGCTAGCAGGTAGCAAATTATAGAAATTATTACACCTAGAAATGACACAAACATAAATAAACATAAGATGTATAAATTACGTGTCACCAGTGGATTGGTAAAGGAGATCTGGAATAATTTTGACATTATCACTACTTCTTAATTACACCTTTGGACTTATAGAGGTTTTATGTATATAATAGGCACATATATATAAATATTAAAAAAATTAACATAAATAATGTCCTCTCCAGGCTGCCCAGGAGTGTACATTTCAGTTACAGAACACAATACCTGTCCACAGCCCCAGTGGTTTTATGTAAAGGAACAGAATTCTAGTCCTGCCACTGAAGAGTTACATGATTGTAAGCAAGTTATTTTAGATTGTCAATCATATTTCCATTGTTCATAAGATAGAAAACACTAATCACCACCTCACACTATTATTATTATTTTTAGATTAAAAATGTATCTCACTGAAGCTCCCAAATGATTACCACATGTAGGGACCCAATAAATCTTTGTCACTTCCCTCTGTGTTTAAAAAAAAAATCAGGATAATTTTATTATAATCATTATTTAATTTTACCATCTTTTAAAAAGATTGCTAGACTTGCCTTCTTAACTTTTCACAATTGTACAGTTAGCCCCTGAATATTTTCATGCAGAATTAGACTGCTTCCTCAGACTTCAAGTCTTATTACCACTAACTCTCTCTCACACACACAGATGGTTTAGCTTTTAAATTTGTTCAGTACTTTGGTTGATTTTTCAATGCTATCAGCAGCATTGACTCAAAAGCAGTTCACGTTGGTGATCAATTTTTAGGTGCATCATAAGAAGCAATGTATTTCCCCAAAGTTTTACTAATCTTTTTTTTTTTCTTTATCCTTTGTGTTATGTGGGAAGAAATCATTCAGGTGTTATTTTTCTTGGGAACTTGATTCTTCTTAGGAATAGCTTGTTATTATGATCTAAGTGTTGTGACACTTCTTAAATTACTAATATGTAGTAATACTGTCAGGAAAAATGCAAACTCCACAAGATCTATTATCAATTACATGACACTATATTGCTTGATGGCTATAAGTCAATTTACTGATCAATTTCAAAATATCTCATACATAAATGAGCAAAACAATAGGAAGCGTAGCCTTATTACTTTCTGGCTTTTCCTTAAATTTGACAATATTATTTTTAGCTTACTTGTAATGATATTTCAAAGAAATCAAAAGTGATTCCATACTGTAGGCAGAAGTGTCTAATGTCTTTATGTATCCCTCCAAAAATGAGTTGACACTTTTAGTTCTTTTTGACAAATTTTTAACCTTGTATGATTATAGATATTAGGATCATGTTTGTCACTGATGAAAAAAAAATCAGACAGCAGTGTTTTTTGTTTGTTTTTTTTGCCTTCTCTTCTCTACCACATCCTCTGATAATGATTTTCATGGGCTGGAAATACTGTAAGAGTAAAATATTTAGTTCAATTTATTTTAAATGAAACTGATAGCTTCAGTAGTGATCTCATAACCTCAAAGCACTTTACACACTGAGTAATCATTAAGATGCTAAATATAGTAAATAACAATGTTTAAAACCTTCACAAATAAATCCATATTCAAAGCTTATTCTACCACAAAGTAGCTTTGCTTTTGATGTGTCTTTTAAAATCATAGATTTCTTGATGGAGGTATTGAGTTTGGCGCCTACCATTGCTTTTTGTTTGCTTTATCCCCTATGATATGGCTAGGCCTCACTCACAGGGTGGATCTTCCTCTTTTAGTTTAGCTTATAGGGCAACAAAAGCCTTTCATTGTGAGTTTAATCTAGGTAGAGCTCTTCACTTACATTTTCCTTACACAAAAAGTAAATATTCCTTGCACATCCCACCATTCCTGGCCAGTGCTCTGTAGTGGCTGATGTTGGACCCAATATAAGGCCAGTGTAGGAGAAGGAGAATATCCTAGAGTAGCATCTTTTTTAATAAACTCAATTTTGGTTGCAGAACACTGGAAAAATAATCAACCAGCCCTCACTTTGTACTTT